CAGAACACAGCCAAGCCCCCACCCAATCAAGTCCCACCCCCACTGGCAGTTAAAAGGAGGAAGCAGCTGCAATCTCACATTACTCTGAAAAGCACAGAGCCGGAGACAGAAGCCTGAAGATGATGAATGAGACTTCATCGAAACGTTGCCTAGATACTTCGAATCTTACGCGGGAGAAAACCCGAACAACCAAAGATCCACATATAAATACCCGCGAGAACCTCAGAAAACATATATATGACATTCAGCTTTCTTCGGGTATTTTCCCAAGTCATTGTAGTTGTGCTTTTAAAGTTGTAGCAACGTTTCGGCAGAATCTCATCTGCGATCATCTGTAACACTATACAGAAGCCTGATGATGGCAGATGAGATTCTGCCGAAATGTTGCTACAACTTTAAAAGCACAACTACAATGACGTGGGAAAATACCCGAACAAAGCTGAATGCCATACATACATACATACATGTAGGTCTGGGTGTGTTCGGGTCTTTTCCTGTGTAAGATTAAGAGTATCTTGGTGACGTTTCGGCGAGGTCCCACTTGCCATCCTCAGGCTGGTGCTTTTGGCTTTGTGCCAGTGCAAGCAGTGTGTGATCGGAGCTGTCGTCTCTCTCTAAATACTGGGGGAGGGGCTGGTGTGCTGGGCTGGTTGGCTGCGCTGCTGCCTCTTGATTGGTTGGAGTTGATGTTGGGCTGTGTGATGGCCTTGTGAGTTTTGTTGTGGAGATATTCTGGATCTTGTGCTGTAATCTCCTGGGTTGTTAGTTTTGTAGTGATCTTTTTTCCATTAGCCTCCTGTGTTTTAATGGCTTTGGTAATGGGTTGTGTGATGGCCTTGCGAGTTCTTTTGTTGTGGTATCCTGGGTCCTGCGTTGTAATCTCCTGGGTCATTTGTGTTTTGACCTCTTTTCCATTAGCCTCCTGTGTTGTAACAGCCAAGATACTTTTAACCTTACACGGGAAAAGACTTGAACACACATAGACCTACATATCTATATCTATATCTATGTCTATATCTATCTATCTATCTATCTATCTATCTATCTATCTATCTATCTATCTATCATCTATCTATCTATATAAAATTATATAATTATTTTAATCACAAGAATACAACACGGTGCAGCTGTTCTGGCATTACAATTGTTATACATATATAAATGTTACTTCACCATTTACAATCATCATAATTCGTGTTTTCCCTGTGCTCCAATAACTTAGAGATCATTCTTCTTCTTCTTCTTCTTCTTCTTCTTCTTCTTCTTCTTCTTCTT